TGAGACGTTCAACTGCGATAACTTAGGTTTTAATTTCCTTAATACCGATTTTATCCGCTTTCGGATAAACAAGAAATCAAGTTTTGCACGCTTCAAAGATAGAGTATAATCCAAATTGCAGTGTGGTCCGGTTTACCAAATTCTTTACAAGTCCCTATTTCTATTTGACAACAACCAAGTCAAATTTTATCAACTTAAGGTGCGCGACGATGATGATGTTCGAAACATGTTTCGAACTCATGAATAATCCGGGTTCGATGAGATTGAGATGTATGTTTTATTACAACAACCAGATTAATCTCAGGTGGTAGATCCTTCTCAAGAATTTGAAGAAGAGGATGAATCTGACGAGGAAAACCATCCTGAAGTCGATGTTATTGACCAAGAAGAAGAAGATGATGAGGCAATGATTGATTTTATGGTCAATGATGACGCTGCAGATCAAGAGCATGAACCAATACCTGCAAGTCATGCGTACGACCTTCCGTTTCACATGCCGAACATGAACTTAAGGGAAGATGAACTAGCCTCATATATATTTCACGATCCTTATATGCAGATCGAAGGGGCCTTGAAAGTTGGAGACAAATTTCGAACAAAATAAGAGTGTCTTAAAGCTATAAAAAAATACCACATGGAAATTTCAGCTGACTTCGCTGTAGATAAAAATAATTCAGGGAGGTACGTTATATTATGTCGTCAATTTTTTTCCCTTTTCGGTTAACTGCATCTTACAGGAAGAGAAGTGATTCATGGGAAATAGGTTCCATTGATCCACTCTACACTTGCATCACCACAGTTCCGACACAGGATCATCGGAAACTTAGTTCTCAACTAATATGTCAAAAAATATTGCCTCCTATTAGCAAAGATCCATCATTAAAGGTGAGTACAATTATTTCTCATATCACTACGAGATTCAAGTATACTCCCTCTTACAGGAAGGCATGGATCAGGAGGACCAAGGCAGTTGAACTTGTGTACGGTAATTGGGAGGAATCGTACAAAGAACTTCCAAGATTTTTGGTGGAACTCAAATATTATGCTCCGTGAAATGTTATAATTTTGGAGACACTTCTGGCTTTTACCCTAGACAGAACTCGTGTTAGTGGAAATGGAATATTTTATCGATTGTTCTGGACGTTTGAACCATGCATCAAGGGTTTTGCATTTTGCAAACCTATTATACATATTGATGGAACTTGGTTATACGGGAAGTATAAAGGAACATTACTCATGGTAGTGACACAAGATGGGAACAATAATTTTTTTCCGATTGCCTTCGCTCTAGTTGAAGGTGAGATAAGTGGTGCATGGAATTTCTTTCTGAAGAATCTCCGATTACATGTTGCTCCATAACCCAACCTTTGTTTGATTTCAGACAGACATCCGTCAATTGTGAGTGCATACAATAACCATGATAATGGTTGGCAGGATCCCCCTTTGACACATGTTTATTTCATTAGACATATCAAATAAAACTTCATGCTCCATATCAAAGACAAGACACTTCGAAAGAAAATTATTAATGCAGGGTATGCCTTAATAGAACCTTCATTCTGATACTATCGCGAAGAAATCTGGTTGGCAAACTCAGAAGCATTAAGGTGGATCGATAACATTCCAGTGGAGAAGAGGACTCAGGCATTTGACAATGGTCAACGATGGGGCCACATGACAACCAATTTGGTGGAATCATTGAACTCTGTATTCAAAGGCATCTGAAACCTACCAATTACCGCTATGGTTAGAGCAACATATCTCAGAATGGATCATTGTTTGACACAAGAAGTTCAAAATGGAGGGCAGTGTTACAATCAGGGCAGTTGTTCAGTGAATGCACGATGAAAACATTTAACGAGGAGGCTGCGAAAGCAAACACCCATAGTGTCACTGTGTTTGACCGTATTAAAGGTTGGTTCAGTGTACAAGAGATAATGGATCATAATAAGGGGAGGCCAATGGGATATTATCGAGTCGAACTAGATAGAGGTTGGTGTGATTGCGGAATGTTTCAAGAATTTTGCATGCCTTGCTCTCATGTCATAGCGGCATGTTCGCATGTTCTCTTGGACCCAATACAACATATATCCCCCGTGTACACGATAAAGAGCGTTTTAAGTGTGTACATCAATACCTTCTTTGTGTTGGCAAAGAAGGATTGTTGGCCTGCTTATGAAGGGGAAATTGTTTGGCACAATAAAAAAATGAGACGGAAGAAAAAGGGGCGCCCGAAAAGTACTCGTATTAGAACTAAAATGGATACGACCAACAAAATGATAAGATTATGCGGTACATGTCGTCTTCCCGAACACAATCAGAAAAATTGTCCGAATATTGGGTTTAGCTCTGCAACATAACTTTTTTATAGCAAACTATCCAGAGTGTTTAATTTGTTGTACCTAATATATTTCAATTTAAATTCGAGTTATCATTTCATGTTCAATTTATCATTCGATTACAACAACTTTCACATCATGACACAAAAAATTACAACACCACATACTCAGGGTAACAGTACAACAACATGATAAACAGACAAAACAACTAAACAAATCATAATATCTAAGAGATAAAGACCATCAACACAATATCCTCTGGTCCAAGCATCATCATCATGACATCAGCGTCACATCTCACCTTTTTCCCTGATCGGCTTACTCCATTTTCGTTCCTCATTGTGATGTGCCTTTCTATTTTTCTGATTTGTTCACCTTCAAGAATGTCTCCTTCCAACCAGCGAATCAAGTCCCTCTGAAAATGCTCGAACATATGCGTGTTCTAGAGTTTGATCTTCACTGGAGGCTTTGTCGCTGAAAAAATAGCATGCGCATCTCTTTTGATCAGTGAAAACTTTGGCAAAGGAGTTGAAGACATTTTCTAAGAGTTATGTAACAAATTGTGTGGAAAAATGAAGAGGATGGGTGGTTGTATTTATAGAAAATTGCAATAACACTGTCAAGCCAAGGACGGTGGCGCCTCCTCTCTAAAAACACATGCATGGCTTTACAGAGGAGGACAAGCCATGCAGTATGGCGCCTCCTCTTTAAATTGAATGCATGCGCCACACAGAGTGGCTACTCTTCTGTGTGGCGAAATTTTTTTGTTTGAAAAGTGGTCATTTTGGTAAATTTTTTGAAAATGTGGTTATTTGGGAATTTTTTTTGAAAAAAGTGGTTATTTAAAAAAACTTCCAATTTTCAAGCTGTTGTATATATCATCATTTATATATATGTAAATTTTTTGTATATGCAAAATTTGATGCATATATATATTGGATTGAAGCTACCAAATCTTGTGCAAAATATGGTGAAAATTTGGTGTAAAATATGGTGAAAACCTGGAGAAAATATTTGACAGCGCTTAAGGAGAAAATATGTCTAAATTTTTTTTTAAAAATTGTTAACATTAGACAGTGCTTAAGGAGAAAAGCGTTGTCTAACGTAGGGAGTAAGTTTTGCCTAAGGTGAGGAACAAACAACACTTTTATGAAGCGCTGTCTAAAGTAGGGAGAAAATGCTACCTAAAATAGGAAACCGCTGCCTAAGGTGGGGAACAGACAACGCTTTTAAAGAAATGCGCTGTCTAAAGAGATGCAAGAAGCGCTATCTAAAGTGTTGTCTAAAATGAGAAAGCGCTGCTAAAGGTGTACTTATCAAAGCGCTCTCTGAAGTAAAAGCGTTGCTAAAGGTGTTCATAAGAAAGCGCTCTTAAAGTAAAAGCACTGCCAAAGGGGACATATAGCAGCACTTTTACATTAATCCATAGTGCTACCTTTTCTTATAGCAGCACTAGTTTAGGCAGCACTTTAAAGCGCTGTCTATGGCCAAAAAGCGTTGTCTATGCGCTTGTTTGGCATAGTGAGTGGAAAAGTAAAAACACACAAGGAATTTATCTACACAGTTTCCCACTATCGTCCTCGCGTGTGGGTACGTCCGCGCCTAATTCCGTTGGAACTAGGATAATTTTGATATGTAAAATGTTTAATATAATGGAAGAGTTAGAAACAACAATATGAAATTCTCTAATTTGGTGTTGATGCTCCTTCTTCCAACCTCTGATCTTAAACAAGATCATATCAACTGATAGATGCAACCTATTCGCCACTTAAGCTATTTCCTTAAAAGGATTTCAAATGGATAACTTGTATGAGAATATGATAATGAATAATAACCATCAGATTTAAAAAGGAATAGTTGAGATTAAATAGCGATCCACACTAAATCATGTATCATTAAGAAGAAAGAGAAATCGTTAATCAAATTTTAAAAATATCTTTTAATCTCAATCATTAAATATAAATCCAATAATTATTATTAAATTCTTATATAACTTACTCATTTATATATATATATATATATATATATATATATATATATATATATATATATATATATATATATATATATATATATATATATATATATATATATATATATATATATATATATATATATATATATATATATGTTACTGAGAGAATTTTAGCGTTGGTTATAAACTTTTTTTGATTTGAAAAATTAGTCTATACATGAAGAATTAGTATATATAATTACGCGCTGATTTCTAAAATAAAACTTTTAGATATATGAATTGATTTGAGAGTTTAGTTAATAATTGGTCCTCTAAAATCCATAGCTAGGGAAAGCCTAGTCCACTCCTTTCCCAAAGCAACTGGCCAAGTGTGTTCTTCCTCCAACATTGTTGTCTACCTTATTGTATCTTGTCTATGTCTCTATCTATCTCTCTCTTGTGGTCCTTCGTTTTCTTCCTTATATCTCTCTCACCTCTTTCTCCATTTTTTCACACCATATATCATATTTTCCTACTCCTATATAAACATTCTCACCTTCTTCCACTACATATATAGCTTGTTTGTTCCTTGATTTTCTATATAACTAGCTTCATTTTATACTTTATAGCTTTCCATTTTAGGGAAACACTTAAACACTTTGAAGAACTCAATATTTACCTCATTACAACATTTTTTTACACAAGCTATGTCTAGTCGAAGGTCAAGACAACAATCAGGAGGGTCTACAAGAATCTCTGATGACCAAATTATCGAACTTGTTTGCAAGTTGCGTCAACTTGTTCCTGAGATTCGTAATAGGCGTTCTGACAAGGTACTATAGTTATTTCAACACACACTCTCTCCCCATTTTAATAAGAATAAAAATGTATAATTATACATTCAACTTATTCAAATTTTTGAACTTGTTCAACTTAAACGCAGTACTATAAGTACTGTACTAGTTGTCCCTCTTTTAAAAAGACATTGTTGAATACTATTCGTATTGATAATTTTTTATAGCTAAAAAATCCTTTTTTTCACATTTTTATAAAATGGTTAGTAAGAGATATATAATTTTTTTACTTAGAACATCACATTTGTGTATATAGATGTACCTAAATTTTCTCCAATAATATTTTCGTCATTTCATATTAAATATTCCCTCTGATGTGAAAGAAAATTATCATACAATAATTGACATTTTAAATTTTTAAGATGACATTTATTTTTTCAAGTATATTATCTAATTAATATTATATTAAGCATTCATAATATAACTATTTTATTTTATAATTATGATAAAAAATAAATACAATAATACTTGATAAAGTTAATATGGTAAAAATACTGTTGCATTTCTTTTATCCATATATTTTTTAAGTGTGTCAAATAATCAATTAAGTTTATTATTAGGGGTCAGATTAAGAAAAAATATTAATAATGAGACATTGTAACAATTTTACAAACTTTGTAAAAAAATAATTGTTATGTCGGCACTATTTTACACTAAATATTTATACCGCTCAACATATTTATACAGTAAATAATATTTTTTTATTAAAATAATATTATTTTTATTAAAAAATATTTATTTTTAAAATTTATTTTATAATTTAAATAAAAGTTTGTGTCATTAACTAATTTCAAAATTTTATTAATTACAAAAATGTATATCCTTAACTAATTATTTTATTTATAATTTACTAATCACATTTATTATTTCCTTAATTAATAAAATGCATATTTGTTCTGATTACTAAAATATAAATGTATTAATCAATTTTTATAGTTTATTAGTCAACTTTATTTTACTATTTAATATTATTTTTACGTTTGAGAACTGATATATTAACTTTTTTATGTCAGAATATATATTAATCAAACTTTAAATTATATTAGTCAAATTTTAATATTTCATTAACCAAAATAATTTTAGAAAAAAATATATTAAAAAATTAAAATTAAATGTAAATACTGTTCACTTGTGAATAGCATATACAATGTTATTTTTAAGTGTCAAAATATTATTTTTCTATTCTATACTAAACATTAAGTATTATTATAAGTACACCCTAGAGTATGGAAATTTTAGAGGTGATATGTATATTATATGTTTTGTTTTTATATTATTGACGGTTAGAGATTGAACGTTACATCAATAACTCACATTCATTTAGTTCATATCACTTGAGTTATGGATGTGATATTGAAGATTACTACTAGCTATGGACAGCATGATTTTTGAAACCTAAAAAAAACATGTATTTAGGTGAGCATGTGTGATGTTTTTTTCCCTACATTAAACTCTAAATAACTACTACCACATATTGAATGAATTGATTTGAAGTAAATTGAGTACGGAATACTATAGGTAACCGAAACTGACATAGTGGATGCATGCAGGTACCAGCTTCCACGGTCCTACAAGAAACCTGCAACTATATCAGAAACTTACAAAGAGAAGTTGATGATTTAAGCCTCAGATTGTCTCAGTTGTTGTCCACAATTGATGCTGATAGTCCTGAAGCTTCTATCATTAGGAGCCTGCTTAACCAATGAACTTTAAATTCACATTTTCAATTATAATTTATTAGTACTTGTTTTATTAATTAATATTAGTGCCTCTTTTAATATAAGGCAAAAAAAAATATGTAGCACTTGTTTGAGATAGTTGCAGGTTTAATAGTGTAATGAGTTCAGTGTTGGAGGTTTGATATCAGATTTGTAACTTTGTAAGAGGCGATTATTATATATATAATGCTAGTTATTTGTTATTTTGAGTTGAGCTCATGAACTTTTTTTGCTATAACAATTATTTTGGTTCAATTATGATTAAACTTGGGTCCTCCTTATTACTTAATTATTGTATGAATAAAAAACAATTATTGTATGCATAATGATTAAAGTAAGATAAAAGTATTCAAAATTAGATTATGTAAAGTGTTAGTCTTCTCTTTGACAACTCCTCCAAGAAAAAATTGTTATGGGAAAAAAATTTAAATGAATGGTCTTATCCAATCATGATGGTATTATTTACAGGTTATATGTTGTGTCTGGCGTCAGTTAATTGAAATAAAATGGCTAATTTGTGGTACACATTTTTTTAGGGGGTCAGTTGGCGTAAGAGGAGGTCTTATCATGATTAGACATTTAATTGTATGGTCAACCTGTAAATCTAAAAATTATGGTATTTTTTTTTAGGTTTTCTGACAAATAAGGAGGACATGAAAGACAAGAACATTTTCTTTGCCTAAAAATGATATCTAAGAACGGCTTACTCATGTATTTTTTGGTTGAGCTTATAGTGATTTTAGAGCTTGTGGCATGGTTCCTTGGTTTTTCTATATTCCGTGTCTTACTAGTGAAAGTTGTTTTCTGTTGATGCTAAGCTCTAATTTGTCAACTTTTATGGGTGTAAGTGTTGTTGTTTTATGAGTTTTGTGCATTTTTATCTCTGTTTTTGTTGTGTTCCAACTAATTATTTTCTAGGACTTGCAGGGCACATCTCATGCCCCTACCCCTACGTTGTGTGGAATAAGATAAGTCTAGATTTGGGTGGGATACTCTAATACTTATCTCCATCGGTTGGAAAAACTCTTGATACCTAAGCTCAAATTCGCATGGGCATCAACCTTTTTATATATGTTTATATGTATATGTATCCTATGGATTTCTAAAAGCATTATTATCGATAATTTCTTAACTACGCAATGCCACCCATGTTAGGAATTAATAATATTAAAATTCAATTGCCCTAGTTTTGTAAACCACCAACAACTTAACATTGGCATATTTGATCTATTTTAACTAAGGATGCATTAATTTGGAGTATATTGTGAGATTATTTAGAATCAATTTAGAGTTTTAAATGAATGATATGGTTATTTGAAAAAAATAGTTTAGTTGGTTAAATAATTGGAAAGTATGAAGAAATATATATAAATTGGAGTTTATTTATACCATCAAATTGGATGACATGGATATAGATGCTTTAAGACTCTGTTTGGTAAGACACATTTTTGAGTTTATAGTTTATAGTATATAAGTTCATATGACAATTTAAACATGTTAGTATTTTCATTACGAGGTTATAGCTTATTTTACTACTTTATAGCTTATTCTCCAGGTGTTATTTTAAAGGGATAAATACCTTATACCCCCTGCCATATGAGCGTGTTTTGATTTCCCTCTCCAACCCCCTCCCTTCCCCCCTCTTAAGAATTTCTTAGCAAAGATTCTATGAATCTGGCCTACGTGGTCATCATCTCTTGGCTGACTGTGCTATAAGTGACACGCTGGAGTGTGTATAAAAGGCATTGTTGACATATAGGATTATAATTTTCTCATTTCACCCCCTTGAAAAGCTAGGGTTTATATCAGTCAAAGTAGAAACCTAGAGATGACGAAGAGAGGATCCACCAAGATGAAGAAGAAGAAGTCCAAGCAATCAAAGCAAGCAAGGGAAACTACTCAAGCAAATCAATTGAAGAAATCAGTTAAATCAGAGTTGCATGAATAAGAAGTTAAGGCTTCTGAAACTCAAAATGTACGTTTTTTTCACCGTATGCGTCGAACTCAGAAAGTGTAGATGCATGTTAGGTTTTAATTATTTTCCTTTCTAATTTAAGAATAAGCAACAAGAGCAATGTGATTTACAACATCATATTACATAATTCATCAAACTTAATCAAACATTACTGTCATGGTGTACTAAAGCTCCTAATTCATTATTCCAACTAAAACTAACAGATTACACTTTCTGTTACATATACTTGTAGATTAATGCCAACATAATCCAATACAACCATAATGCCATTTACAATTGGAAATTTTCTTCTGCATAAGAACAATCTTCAACTTAGCCTTTTTTAGTTTTTTTGTTGTCATTTAAAACTTCCCCATAGCCACCTCAGAGTTTTTGCAACCAATTTCATTCTTTGTGCATTCATTAATGAAGTGAGCAACTTCATTATCCCAAATAAATAAGTCACAGCAATTCCCCATCTGCATACACAAACAAATTACTAGCATAACAAATCTTCCCAAATATAGATGTAATTCGTGAAACTCGTGGATTCAAACACTTACCCCCGTGCTACAACATTTCAAAAACTTCCTATTCTTATTTTGTACAGTATTCGCGACCCACATCTTCATTGAACGACGACAGCCACGACTGGGGACGATTGAAATCTCATACGAATTACTGCTTCCACCACTATTACTTGGACCCATTTGACCGGTTTAGGGTTTCAGACAGACGAAGAAATAGATCATAGAAGAGGCAATATTGTTAGAACAAAGTTTGAATCTACTACCCTAAGTTTAAGTTTTGATGATAACAAAATGAAAAGTTATATTAATTATGTGATTCATGTAAGAACTATTTGCTACCTAAAATATTACTTTCTGTTTTGCAGAAACTCTGATAGGTATCAACAAGAGTACATCATGAAGGGGTGAAAAACACAAGAAGGGGGGGGGGGGGGGTTGAATTGTAAAACTGAAAACTTAAAGCAAATGACAAGGTATTTTTATCCTGGTTCGTTTGATCTCAAACTACTCCAGTCCACCCGTCAAGGTGATTTCGCCTCTCTCCAACGAGGTCTTAATTCACTATATTCAACTGAATACAAATCTGCTTTAACAACTGCTAAAGCCTTCTTGATTCAAACCACAATCCGGTTTGTCAAGGCAACACTTTCTTACAAAGGTATAAAACAAATGTGTGTGAATGTTTTCTACAAAACTTTATCACAACTGTGATGTATACACAAATTAAGCTTAGAAACTTAGATTGCTAAACACTAATGGAGTATCAGAGTTTGTTGGTTTAGCAAAACTGGTAGATGAAGATTATTGTTCAGCTTTGTGCGTGTAGAGAGTTGGAGAGCATTAGCCATTATAATCTTCGAAGCCTTGTTTATATAGCACTTGAGAAGATGAACGTTGAATGCAATATCTTTGATTCAATGCTAATAACAAGCTTTCCTTTTTGAGCAGATCTTGTCTAGAATGATGCCGTTGGAATTAATTAGCGTTCAATGCACAGTACCGTTGCTTCTTCAATGCACGTTCTGGCTTGGCTCATTCTGATTCTGCTTCGCTGCTGATGAACTATTTGTTTCTGTATCAGAGTGTTTTACGCGCAGTTCTGTTCATCAAGCTTCAGCATGTGCGTGAGTTGATCATCTGATCTTCACGTTCTGATTCAGCAACTTCTGATGCTGGTGCATGAAATCAAATTCTGATGCTGAATAATTGATCTTGCTTATTTTAATCAGCGTATCTGCAAGTCAGAGCATAGTAATTTTAGGCAGCATATAATTCAATCATGAAACATTTAAATACTATATCTTTTCACTTTGTTATCATTAAAACTTAAATATAGGGTACTAGATTCAAACATTGTTCTAACAATCTCCCCCTTTTTGATGATGACAAAAACTAGATATTTTAAATAAAAGATAACGTGAAAAGGGTATCTAGGAAATGTTTCAGAGTTAAGAAGTAAAGAGAAATCAGAGTTTAAGAGATACTCCCCCTGAGTTTGTTACTTCCCTTTGATATGCGTGTTCTTCAGGATCAGATCTTTTTCTATCTTTGAGCGTCAGATTATCAGAGTCTTTGACTTATCAGAAAGCAGAGCTTCAGAGCTTTTCCTGTCAGAGCTTTGCTTCGGATCAGAGTGTTAGGTCGATCAGAACTTCATATTTGATCAGAGCAACATGAGCTTCTACATTTTGATCAGAGCTTCTAGCTTCTAGTCTTCATAGTGTTCAAGAGCTTCCTTGTGCCTGTAGACTTAAAAACAAAACAGAAAAACATTTCAAGTAATAGAGTTAGAATGTTTGAGAGTTTCTGTCTAGTTAGCCGTTATTGATTTTAAATATCATTCTTGTTCTCCCCCTTTTTGTCAACAATCAAAAAGTGTTAGTGATGTGCTAAAACAATTTGATCAGAAAAACTAATTATATTAAAATAGTTCAGAATCAGAGCAAAAGAACATTACACAAACATAGTCAAAACAGTACATCAGAAAATGAAGAAAACATGAAAAAGTTATGCATGACAAAAATTTAAGGTTGAGGTGGCATGCGTGAGAACAGGCTTTCCAGCATCGCTTGAATCTTTTCAGAAGTTTCATTCTGCTTCTGAACCATGGTGACAACAGTGTCAATTTTGCTGTCCTGAACATCCATTCTTGCCTTCATCTTCTGATCATTGTCGTCCATCCGCTGTTGGAGACGAATGTCATTCTGCCTTAGTTCTTCCAGAGCCTGCCTGTCCAAGGCAGCTTGAGAACTTTCAGAAGGAGGAAGCTTCTCAGAACTTTCAGCTACATCCTCTGCTGGATTTTCTTCCTGAAGGGTCTTGTCTTCTGATGGTTGCACCTGTGCAGCTTGCTCTTTCTCAGACCAAGATTCACTGTCCAGAGGGAGTACAACTTCTTGAGGCAGTTGATTTTCAACTTCCTTCAGCAGCTTGCTGAAGTTCTGTTGAGCCTGCTCATAGTTGACGTCCTGCAGCTTGAGTGCTTCAGCACGTACCCATAGTCT